AACTTTGACAGAACTAGATAGACAGAAAGAAAATATTTCCAAAGCAGTCAGAAAGGTGTTTCGTAAAGCATGATAGCATTCTCAAACCATCTAATCCTTTGGAAAATTAAGTCAATTGTTTCAAAGGCAGTCTTCCATATCTGTAGATGCATTGATAAAATTTATCCTGGACTTTGTACATTGTGAGTGACTGCTTTGCAGTTTAAAGCAGGAGTGATTCTTTTAACATTTAAAAAGAAGAATGCCTTCTTAGCACATTGTGAAACAAATTTTTGAATGTATTGTGCAACGTAATACATAATTACAAGGTACTAACATTTGCACTGCTAATAGAATGTTTAATAAAATTGGAAAGATGCACTCTGATTGGCTTTTGGGAAAGATTCATCACGTATTTTGTTTGAGACAAAATGTTTGGGATTAATGACATTACAAAAATATTCAGTATATTTTTATATTGTAAGAGATATTTTTAGTTTTCTCGATAATTGTCTTGGAGTCAAATTTGTGTAGTGCTTAAGGAATTGGGCTAGAAATCAGGAGACCATTAGTTCTAGTCCCACCTTAGGTACAAAGCTAGCTGGGTGATCTTGGGCCAATCATTCTCTCTCAGCCTGAGGAAGCAGATAATGACAAACCACTTCCAAAATCTTGCCTCCCCCAAAAAAGAGGGATATGTCGAGATAGTCATCAGGCATCAGAACTCACTTGAAGGCACACATAGAGATAATTATGTTAAAGATATTGAAGATTTTTTTCACGGAGAAAGAGAATGCTTCTTCACCTTGGAAAGTGATTTTAGGGGAATAGTGTCAACCCTACAGAGCTGTATTGCTCTTCTTTTCTACGTGCTTTTGCTTTTATTTGCATTTATGTGCAAAAACATTTTCTGAAATATGTATGTTTAGCCCAACGGCACAAATGTGCATTTGCACTTCTATCTTGTGATTGTAAGTTGGTCTTAAGTTTATTGTAATGGTAATTATTACTTATCTTCTAGGGAGCAATGCCCCAATTATTTAGATACTTATATGGGTTTATCCAAAATACATTTTGGGATGGAATGAATCTGTACTTTCAGTTCATATTTAGTTTACTGATTCTCTTTAGGTTTATAGAACTACTGTTTGAAGAGAAAAAATACCCTGGCTCAGATAAGGTACTGGTATCTTCAGTTGTGGACCCTGAAATAATTAGCATGTAATGGCAATTATTTCCTAAACGTTTAATATTTTTGAGCTGTTGCTTGTTTTATATAAGTTTCATAACAATACTCTGTTTAAAACAGAACTCCTTGGAGTATATTTATTATTTTAATATGTTCTTAGATTTGGATTACAGAAGAACATGGCAACTTGTTTGTAATTATGCTTCCAAAGAATTGGTCCATTGCATTTGATGAACACAAATACAGTTAAGAGCTCAAAGTGAAATAACTACAGTTATCACCATAGGAAAAAATATTTACTTCTGAATTGCAAGTTTTGTCCCATTCTGTTAACTAGATTTAGAAGGTTCAGAAGCTAATTGTAGTATTCTGAACATAGTCCTGTAAAATTGAAATTGTGGGGAAGTTTGTATATAATTTCCATTCCTGATTATTTGTAACATTTATTTGTATCCTATCTTGCAGGTTAAATATCTTGTCAAATATTCCAGTCATTATTAAATATTACAGTGCAAGATGCCGCCCCAAGTTGCAGCTCTGATCCATTCCTATTTAACATTTACATACAATTGCTGGGTGAGATTATTGCCATCTTGGAATTATTGCCATTTTGGGATTAGTACCATCAACACATTGATGATACTCAGTTGTTCACTTCAGTCTTTGGAGTATTTCAGGACTCACAGTTTCCACTTGATGAGCAGGTGACAGACATGACCAAGAGGGCCTTTGCACAACTTAATCTAATGCACCAGTTGTGCTTCTCCTGGAACACATGCCTTACTTCCTTGTTGGATTATTGCAGTGTGCTCTAAAGGGGCCTGCCATTGAAGACCAATTTAGAATCTGGTGGTTCCAGAACATACAAGTGCAGGGAATTTTGGATGCAAACTGATAACACTAGTTATAGTTATTTATTATAATGTCTTTGCTTTGTGGGATTCAAGTCTTCCGGGTATAATTTAAAGTAGGTTATCACCTATGAAGCTCTCCATGGTACTGGGCCAGGTTACTTGTGGAACTGTCAATCCCTTATTATCTTTAGCAGTATTATATCTAACATGATGGGCTTATTCTCTCCTTTAAAACAGTGTCATCTAATGCAAACCAAGAGCATGCCTTCTCCATTATAGCACCGTTAGTCTTATGGAACATTTCCCAGAGATCTGGATAGTCCTAACTATATAAACCATCTGGAAAACTTTGGAAAATCTGGAAGACCTAGATTTTGCCTCAGGCTGTGGGGCCAGGCTATTAGTGGAAGCCCCACTTATAGGGTTTGATTGGATTGTAGTTTTCAGGGATCTCAGCTTTGTTATAATGTTCAGGGATCTCAGCTTTGTTTTTATGTTTTGCATTTTAAGCCACTTAGAATCATAAAGTTAAGAAGTGTGGCTATATAAATGGGAGAGAGTCCTGAAAAACAAGAATATAGTTGGAGCTCCTTTCTTTTGGGAATCTTTCCAGAGAGCAGTTAGTAATGGTCCTATGAATAGGAACTGATAATTATCCAACTAGAGCAGAATTTTAAAATGGTTTCTCTTCTGAGATTACAAACCTCAAAGTGAGAATTGTTTTCATTTTTTATTGTACAAGCTACTCTAAGAAACTCTGAATAATATGTTGAAAAGGAAAGGTAGGGTTTTTAAAGCTATGTATAAAATTATGCAGGCACTTAGACTTCCATGCAGACTAATAATTCTTAATTATATAGCTCATAGATCTTTAATAATTGATGAATGAATTAAAGGATAATGGGTTTTAATCTACTGCGTCTCTTCCTTGATTGCCTTAAGTGGTATTTAGAATGTATAATATTTTAGGAATAAACCTGAAATTATTTTGAAAATCCTTATAATCTAAAGTTGACTATGGATTAGCAAAAAATTGGGGTTATCTTTTTGCAGTGTTTTTGCTTCTTCCTCTGTGAATGGTTTCAATCTGTTGTAGTGAGGGAAGAGAGGTCAGCCTGAAGACTCCTAATTTAAGGGGTACCACAGGGTTCAGTCCTCGTTCCCTTCTGTTTTTTAACATTTGTATTAAATTACTGGGCGAGGTCATCCAACGATTGTGATATCAGCTTTTCAGTAATTTAATTTTTTTGTGGGGAATCTTGTTCTATGCAGACAGCAGTGACTGCATGGAGATAAGAGCATTGGAATATTAAGAGTTGTATGAAATTTGTCAGAGTTCTTTCAATTGTCAATGTAAAATACTACAAGAACATAAATAGATTTATGTTCTCAAAAAGTCAAGCCATTGCAAAAGAATTGCAACAACAATTATATTCCACATATAAATTTTGTTTATACAGTAGTGCAATCAGTATTCAGATTTTCTGAACCTCTTTGTTCTGTCCAATCCTAAAGGAATAGAAGTAATTTTCTTTTGGGTACAAATACAATTTCCATCTGTTCTTTATTTTAATAACTGGCTTGATATAGCATTTAATTTTTTACTTTTGACTGTATGAGAATCCATGCATATAAATTGAAGGAATGAATAAATAAAATTTATTTATACTAGTTATCCTGACTACAGCAAGTCACTTTATCATATTATATAAAAATGTTTTGAAGTATGCTACAATAGTTTAATAAGCATTAGAGCCTAACCTGAATACAGTACATAATCTTGAATACTCAGTAGTCTTTAGCAAAGTGGAAATGGTTGGTCCTGCAAAGAAACCATTGCATAATAGTAAATCACATGCTTTTATATGCAGAGAATTCCTAGTGTAGAGTTTGTTTTCATGTGCTTTGTGTTTTGTACATTTTGGTTTCCCAATTAATTTGGGAATAGAATAAGCCTTAGTACTGATACTTGGAAGAAATAGGCAGATTATAATACTATCTAGACAACACAGATGTGTTCTGTTTTCTGCCTTAGTTGACTGTTCAGTAAGATGGTGTCAACGTGAAGGCTTTGCAGAAGAAGGAAAGCTTGCATTGAAAGTGCTAATAATATGTTCTAGAATAGATGATCCAGTACATGCTAGTATGTATTTACAAAATATCCAGAACATGGAGGAACACTTGGATAAAATGTCCACAGTATAAATGAATAAAATAACCAACGTGTTCTGCTTTAATGTTTTCTGCAGGCTCAGAACAAAGAAACAAAAGTCCTTGCTGCTGCAAAGGTCATTGATACTAAATCTGAAGAAGAACTTGAAGACTACATGGTTGAAATTGATATCTTAGCATCCTGTGATCATCCTAATATTGTCAAATTGCTAGATGCTTTTTATTATGAAAATAATCTTTGGGTAAGAGTTTGCTTTTGTTCTTAACTACATGCTTTAATGAAGAAAAGCTACGGTGTATTAAATCTTAACATTGCCTCCATGCAATCTGCATTTTTTTAAAATACATTTTTAGAGACAGATTTGCAATTCACTGCATCTATTGGAAATGGTGAACATTTTAAACATTTCAAAATAATGTTGGCTGGCTGTTCATGGAGAATCATTTCGTAGAAATTGTTAGCTGTGCATAAGTACAAAGAAAAATATTGTCTTCTATATCAGATTTAGGCTAGAGTGCGCAGGCTGTGCCAGCCAAAGTAGAAAGACTAAATTCAATCCCTCTGTCATATTTTTTGTGAACTTGGGCTTTATGCTGCAATGGGATGTTTGAGAAATATGAAAGAAGGGGAACACAGTGTCAAATACCATTTTTTAATATGCTTGAATAATACCTACTCCATTGCCATGTGAATGATTGAGTTTTCACTTAACTATAACTTAGGATTTTCTTAATGATGATTTGTTGAATTATAACTACCTATTTTATATATAACATTAAGTCTGAATGAGCACAATCATACTTTTTGCTGTGGACAACAATTAACAATGTTATGGCATAGCACTGTATGTGCATTGGTGATTTTATTCTCCTTTTTCACCTGTGAGAAAAATTGGACCATAATTTCTCTCTCCCCTTCCACTCAGAAAGAGGAAGAAAGATTTATGTCATATTTTGAAACAAGGCAAATGCCATTCATGTTTCCAAACAACAGGAATTGCTTAACTAGTTGGAAAGACACTAAAGCAACTAGGAAGGAAGAAAAGAAAGAATAACTGATTACTGATTACTAAGGCAAGTCAGATTTGGTGACCTAAGTAACTTGAAGAAAACATATTCTGTTCTATTCATTAGTCATGTCCTGACTTAATTTCATCTAATAAAAGAAATACAGAGGCCAGGCTACATGACTCTTTTCTATTTAATTTTTGGTAGAACAAATTTGGAGAAATAAGCAACTCTTAAAGAATGTAGGCATTGATACAGCTAGTATATCATATTCAAGATTCATTCCAAACGCATACCTTATGTTTAATATATTCTGAAACATAAAGATTATGAACCATGTTTGATTTTTGAATTACACAAGGTTTGGACCTTTTAATGAAATTAACCAAACTTATTGATTTCCCCGAAGTTTAATAGAATCACAGTTCCCATTGATTATTATTGATATATCAGTATCAATATCAATATATCATAAAATTCTGTTATTGTAGCAGGTAAAATATTTTTCTTTGTTCATTTTTTTCTTTTAATGGAATGACATTTTAAGCCATAATTGTAATTTTATTTAAATTCATGTTCTCTCTGGAAAAATTACAGCACCACTTGCCCAGTGAAACTTTTTAACTGCACTGCTTGCTGAACAACAGACAAGTTATTTCCACAATAGAACCGATATTATGTGTCTCACCAAGTTTGTCTAAAGAATGAAAACAATGGTAAAAGAAACTAATGAAACTCAGAAGTAGAGATGTGCAAAATGTTTTAATTCAGAATCTCTGAAAACAATGTCGGGGTTCGAAGATAGCTGTCCTGCCCTCATAGAAAGTATTCTGGTGTTGATCCTAACATATTGGAGTGTTCCAGGCTTAGGGCAACCTATTTTGAATTCAGAAAGGAGCAATTTTGAGCAGACAATATTTTCAGTAAGCTCAGACTACTTTCTAGTTCAGGGGTCTTCAAACCTGGCCCTTTTATGACTTGTGGACTTCAACTCCCAGAATTTCTCAGCCAGGCACGCTGGCTGAGGAATTCTGGAAGCTGAAGTCCACAAGTCATAAAAGGGCCAAGTTTGAAGACCCCTGTTTTAGGAAGACAGAGCAACTTCTTCAAGCTTGAAGCAATTCTTTCAAACTCAAGAGTGAGCATTTTGAGTTAAAACATTTCACACTCAAACTGTTTTGCACACTTCTAACCAGACGTTTAGTGTAGATAGGGAAGCTTCATTCCTGGTCTGCAATAATTTGAAAAGTAAACATCTACATTATTTTCTTTAAATATGCAGATCCTCATTGAGTTCTGTGCTGGTGGTGCAGTTGATGCAGTAATGTTGGGTAAGTATGACAACATTCAAAATATTGGAAAAATAGACAATTTCATTGGTAGTTTCTGTTATTTTTTACACCATTAATACATTAATGCCTAGCTTTTCTTTTTTAGTTTAATTTTCAGAGATAAATATACATGAACGCATAATGTTAGACCATGAGTTTAAATAATCATTCAATTTTAAAGCCTATGTGTGATGATAGTGGGAAAGACCTTGGGATATTGAAGAAATGCAAGAAATAAGGGAACAGATAAGACACGGCGTATTCTTGCACTGGTTAGTGGGCAGGGCAAGAGGTTCAGATGGGACCCTCTCTAGTTTCTCAGACTATAAAGGAGATGGTAGGTGAATTGTATTTGCAAATTGCAAGATTTTGTTAATTGTAGCTTTACAATAAAGTAGAATTGGCTTATTCGACCATATTTTCTGCTTTGTCATTTTAATGTTAAAATATTTATAATCTATTTTGGATCATTTCACTTGGCACCACTCCTCCCCCAACTTCTGCTTTAATTTTGCTTTAATTATTATTTTGCTTTAATTATCAAGATTTTTTTTGGTAAAAGAAGACATTTAAATCCAAGAGTATGTTTTGCTTGTAGAACTGGAAAGACCACTGACAGAGCCACAGATCAGGGTAGTTTGCAGGCAGACTCTTGAGGCGCTACATTATCTGCATGAAAGCAAGATCATTCACCGAGATCTGAAAGCTGGCAATATTCTTTTCACATTGGATGGAGATATTAAACTAGGTGAGTATTCTGTTTCTTAAAGTAGAATAGAGTTACATTGTTTTAATATTAGTGTAGTATCAGTAATAGTTTCTCAATAAATATAGACAGCTGTTTCTATGTCATAGGAACTTAATTAGTAGATCTGCTTTAGCTGATTTCAGTGTCAAAGAAAACTGTTTTTTTCCCATTGCATGAAGTACCTTAACACAGATAATGCCAAAAGAAGAGAACATATGTAGCTCAGGCTTGAACTGTGAAGTCCTTGATGCATTTTGAGCATAGTTGTTTGCAGACCTTTTTTTACCCAACATCTTCAGTGCTAAAAGGAAATGGGATTTGTTCTCTGAGCTTGCCCTGTCAGTGTTAGTGGAAGCGTTGTTTTCTTATTGGTAGTTCCTTGATTAGGATATTGTTTACTTCTTGGTTGTCTGGTGTTAATTTTGGTGTCAATCCCTGCTTATAATGTTGTTTATCTCTATGTGCCTGTTGATGGCTGATCTATTTGAGTGCCAAGGTTCTAGGAATTCCCTGGCATTTTTTTGATTCAGTTTGGTCTAGGATGCTAAGTTTCCTAGTTGAAACTATGGTTGAGTCTGTCCATATGTTGTGAAATTAAGGAATTTTCTTTTTTTTTTTTTCCCAAAGAAGTTTTATTATTTTCCATCATAAAAAACAATCACAAGCATAATAAACACAATAACAAGTAAAAAACCCCCACCCACCCCCCCGGACTTCCCAAACCTAATCCCAGGATAATATTCATATATAAGTAAGCAAATACTAGTATCTCTAACTCCACAAAGTATCTTAATCTACATGAAAAAATAGAAAAAGTAAACAGAATAATAATAATAAAAAAAAATCTAAAACCCTAAGTTATATTCTATCACTCTATGCTTCTTTTGAATATAAACAATCCATCTTCTCCATATTGATAAAAATTGTTCATTTGAATGATTCTTCAAATAAGCCGAAATCTTTGCCATTTCAGCAAGATACGAAACTTTCAATCTCCAGTCTTCCATTGTAGGCAGAATTGGACTCTTCCAAT